TAGAACAGCGAGAAATTCTAGCTTAGAGGGTTCTAGTTGGACAAAGAGAAAAAGGCGCTCAGAGGAAATATGCTCTGCTCATCTTCCCCAGGCCACAGCAACAAATTAAGGCTGTCTTTTCTTTCTCCTCTTAGGAATAGTATAGGACACCACAGAGGAAAAGATTCATAAGTGGAGAGGTCACTGAGCCCAGAAGGACACATCTTGCTGCCACATCTGTGGCAAAAAGGTGTACCTTACTTGTTTTTTATAGGCATGGTTCAGCCGTACCACAAACCCACATGGTCAGGAAGTGACTCATTTACTAATGCCGTTTGAGCTTGTGTGTTGTGGGAAAAGTCTTTTGACAATATCGTGTATACTGGCTTTTCCAATCTAAGAGAACATCTTTGCTGCATTAACAGTAGATGTTACATATTTTTTTCCCTTTAAACCCCCCATGACCAATGGCTTACACTATGGCAAGTATAGTTAGGTTACTCCTAATAATTAATATGGTATGCTAACTAGTTGAACTCACAGAATAATGCAAGTATGCATGTATTCCTTTATAATGCTGGGGTGTTTATTGGAGAGGGTCTTAATATTTTACCAACTTATGTTTTGCCAATTTTTGCATATTTATGTCAAATATTCCTGTTTGCAGAGTAGTACTAACATTTGCTTTCCAATTACAAAAGTCGTAAAATGTTTGTTAAAAAGTACTATAATGATAGTATTTCCAGAAGAAAAGTAAAATTCCCCACAATCCTCTCATGTTAATAGCTGTATTGTTTTGATTATATGCACTTCCATACTTCATCTGTACCATGTTTGTATATTTACAAAAATAGGGCTGGGTGGGACACATACTTTAAGTCTGTTTTTTCCTTTACATGTCTTTGACTCATTTATTCATTCAAGAAATCTTTTTTGAGAATGTACAATGTGCTAGTCCATCACTTTTCTAAGTGCAGTGGAGACTACAGTGAAAAACCAATGGAGCACACATATCATGTATCTTTGTATAACAATGAATGTCAATATGCTAGTTATTTTAATAAGTGTAGAGTATTGTATAGATTTATCTTAATTTACTCAATCAAATACTCCATTTTTGGATGTCGAGATTCTGTTTGTTAGGTTTTGTTAAATATAGTGGGGAAATATGCACTGACCATTGGTGAATCTGAACCAATGTTCCAATGATCTCTGCTAATAATAGGATTGCACTGGTAGTGCCCCTCTTTCAAATGTGACTTTACAAATAGTGATATGCTCCTTGGAAGATGTGGCTGTAAAGATCAGTATGAGCCCAGAGGTCTCTCACTTAATGACTGTGGAGATCCTGAGGCATGTGAGGCTGTTTCCAACTCTTACCCCTGGCTCAAAGGCTGCTTAAAGCACAGTTCCAGTCCTTATAAATGGACACCAGGTTGTCATTTTGGCTGCTATTCCTTTGCAGCCATTTATAGTTATGCAGTGATGTGTGAAGCTGGGCTTCTGTGAATTCTGGAAGCATTTCTTCTGCCTTTGATAGGAACTGCTGCTTGTTTGTCCTCTATCCAACAACCAGCAGGTCACTTTCCTGCCATCTGTGTGAGTCCCACACACAGTGACATGAAGTGATGTCACAGGATCTGTTTGTTGGTGATTTCAGCATGCTGCTTGACGTTCAATACAAAGCAAAACATAACCCAGGTGAATTGTGGAATTTTACATTATTAGAGGTTATATAGATTACACCCCCATCTTCTGGACAAGGGCACCAAGACAGAGAGAGGTTGAGTAATTTGCTTAAAAGTCACTTAGAGCACTTTGGGAGGCCTAGGTGGGCAGATTGCCTGAGCTCAGGAGTTCGAGACCAACCTGGGCAACACGGTGAAACCCCGTCTCTACTAAAATACAAAAAAAATGTAGCTGGGTGTGGTGGTGTGCACCTGTAGTCCCAACTACTCGGGAGGCTGAGTCGGGAGAATTGTTTGAACCCAGGAGGTGGAGGTTGCAGTGAAGCGAGATCGCGCCACCGTACTCCAGCCTGGGTGACAGAGCGAGACTCTGTCTCAAAAAAAAAAAAAAAAAAGTCACATAGTGGTAGAGCTAGAACTAAACATTGGGACTTCTAATTTCTTGCCCAGTGTTCTTTTCAGGGAATCAGCTATTCCAAGTTTGTGGTAGATTCACATAGCATCCTTGTAATAGGTCAGGAAACACTATTGCTTTGGAGTGCTTCTATTTGGCATCCAGATAAAATGTCTTCAGTACCAGACAATGCCAGTTTCCCAAATATGGAGCTTTTCTTTAATCCCCCACTTTGTTAATTTGGGAGAGGCTTTTTAGGTAGCTTGCTATATGCATAGCAGATTTAGTGATCTCATTGCCATTGTGCGTTCCACCAGTAGGCTGATAAATGACCTCAGGTTTGTGATTGGAGTGTCTCACCCCACCAGTTCTGTAAAGCTAGCCACAATGAACCATGTGTCTCTTTAATATGAAAGAGGCTCATCAGATTTATGATCATATTTATCTGGTCTAATTTGGATTATCTGATAGATTCCACACAGATTTTGTGGAAGTCACATTTTATTCTCTTAGGGAGCATTGGCATCTGATTTACAAGTAAACTCAGTGTCAAAGTACTGAGAAACTTTGCAGTACTGATTGTTTTTATAAGGCCAACTGCAAGTTATCTTTGTTAATGAAGCAAAGCAGTATTGCAGCAGCATATTTGAAGTTGTATTTCAAAAAATATTGGGGTTTAGTCATAGAGTGCATTTTTTTGAGGCATAGTGGTTAAGAACCCAGACTTTAGAGTCCACTGCTTAGTTACCTCCTGGATCTATCACATACTGTGTAGCCTCGGACAAGTTACACAATCTCTCTGTGACTCTGTTTCCTTATCTGTGAAATGGGAATGATAATAGTACTGGTGTCAGGTAGTTGATGGGAAGTTTAAATAAGTTAATATTTTCAAAGCACCCAAAACACTGGTATGTGCTAGACATCATATAAGTGTTTGATACTATTATTCTGACACTTTCTCTCTCTCTGTCTCTTTTTTTTTTTTTTTTTTTTTTTTTTTTTGAGACAGGGTCTTGCTCTGTTGTCCAGGCTGGAGCGCAGTGGCATAACCATGGCTCACTGTAGCCTCAACCTCCTGGGCTCAAGTGATCCTCCCACCTCAGCATCCTGAGTAACTGGGACTACAGGTGTGCGCCACCATGCCTGGCTAAGTTTTAAATTTGTTGTAGAGATAGAGTCTTGCTGTGTTGCCAAGGCTGGTCTTGAACTCCTGGGCTCAAGCTATACTCCCTACTCAGCTTCCCAAAGTGCTGGGATTACAGGTGTGAGCCACTGTACCTGGTCGATTTGGACACTTTCATTCCATCCATTCATTCATTCGTTCATTCAACAGTGATTTCTTGGAATATCGATGTGCTAGGCACAATGCTAATGATAAAAATATTCTCAGCCCTCAAAGGATCTTGCAGTTTAGTGGTCACAGAGACATATGCAAACCATGTAGGCATACAGTAAGGAAAGTCCTATAATGAAGGACTATAAGTGCAGTGGCAGTTAGGTGAAGGAGCACCTGAGGGGAAGGCTTCACAGGGGCCATTTGAGATGGGACATGAAGCATGAGTAGGAGTTGGCCAGTGGACATCAGTGGTGTGGGCATTCCTGGCATGCACAGAAGGACAGAGTCCTGAGAGGATGGCAGAATAACTGGAACACAAAGTGGCAGAGTGGGAGATGCTTTGGGGACAGTTAAAGAGACACACAGGTAGGGACCAGGAAGGCCTCCTGTATCCTACAGAGGTTCCTGTGAGAGACAGTAAGGACTCAAATTCAGACAGGGGCCAATGAGAGGGAATCCAGCAGATGGAGGAGATGGCCAGAAGCAGTGAGTGCAGTGGGCATACCTGTTAGACACGGTTACACCTGTTTCTCAGGTGATAGGAGATGTGCCCAGGTGCTGTTCTGCTTATCCATAAAGTTCCTCTCTGGAAGTTAAATGGTCTCTTATGGGTACTTGACATATTTTGCTGGGTTTTCAGGGGATAACAACTATCACCAAAAACGTGTCATTTCATTGTTTTATTGAAAGTTACTGAAAAGGAAATGCATTTTAGGTAGTTTCCATCAGTCAGAACTAGGAAAACAAAACCAAACCTTAAGAATACAGATGATCCCCAACTTAGGATGGTGTGAAAGTGATACACATTCAATAGAAACCATACTTTGCGTTTGGGGTTTTGATTTTTTCCAAGGCTAGTGATAGGCAGTGAAATACTCTAGCAATTCTGGGGAGCAGCAGTAACCTGCAGCTCCCAGTCAGCCATGTGATCTCAAAACAACCAATACCCTACAGTGTCCTCTTGCCAGATGACTTTCCCCACCTGTAGGCTAATGTGTGTGTTCTGAGCACATTTAAGGTAGGCTAGGCTGAGTGGTTAGGTTCAGTAGATTAGGCGCATTAAATGCATTTTCAACTTAACAATGAGTTTACTGGGTTATATAACCCATCATATGTCAATGAACATCTGTATTTAGCTTAGTTCTGTGATTTTCTTTTAAAAAGAACACCTAAATGCACAATTTTTGGCTAAAATGTCAAATCATTACCATGAACTTGGGATTTTTACCCCATTTTTTTCTTTCCATTAAAAAAAAAAAAATTTGCAAGGCTCTTCTAAGATAAATCTTTAAGATTAGATCCTGGCCGGGCACAGTGACTCACACCTATAATCCCAACACTTTGGGAGGCTGAGGTGGGTGGATCACCTGAGGTCAGGAGTTTGAGACCAGCCTGACCAATATGGTGAAACCCTGTCTCTACTAAAAATTCAAAAAATTAGCTGGGCATAGTGGCATGCGCCTGTAGTTTAGTCCCAGCTACTCGGGAGGCTGAGACAGGAGAATTGCTTGAACCCGGGAGGCGGAGGTTGCAGTGAGCCAAGATCACGCCATTGCACTCCAGCCTGGGCAACAGATTGAGACTTTGTCTCAAAAAAGAAAAAAAAAAAAAAAAAAGATTAGATCCCTACATAACGCAAGGCATTATTCAACATTTTCTAACACTTTCTTATAAACATTAAGTGAATTCATGGTACATATACTCAGTAAATAGAACTTTTAATTCCAATTCCATTGTAATCTGAATCTAATTAAAAATCCTTAAAGGAGATAGGGCAGTTCAAATGTCCCACTGCTCCAGATGTGTCCAAATGAATGTCCCCCATGGGCACTTCAACCTCAACATTTTCAAACATGTCATTCAGCCCTGACTTGACCCAGGGAGGCAGTATTATGACGATTCCCAGAAGTGTTACAAAAAAAAAAATACTCCTTTTTGATTTTAAAAAATTACATTAAAATCAATTATAAGGTAGAAAATATGTATGGATAGATTTATTTTTACTAAGTTATATCCTTCAGTGGGCTCTTTATTTGAAATATTACTAGGACTTTATGTGCATGTTTTGCCTCTTGAAAGTACTATTCCATGACTGACCATTTTGTTATTATTCATTCTGTTTTCTTCCTTAAAAGTGGATAGACAGGAAATCACCTCCTCCCACCCACCCTTTTTTATGAGGACAATGACTCTGAGTAATTGATTGTCTTAGGCATAGTCACACACCTGAGTAGAGCAAATACTAATAGCCAGACTTCCTGACTCCCAATCCATTACTTCTTTTTTTCTTCACCTTTGCAGAAGTATAGGAAATTGGTGCCATGAGCCTGGGCCTAAAGAACTGTTCATTCAGTAAATAATTGTAAGGTGTCTTCTATATGCCAGATATTATTTTCAACATGGGGACTTCTGCACCTAACAGTTCCTGCCTTTAAGGAGCTTATGGCTAATGGGAAGGTAAGTGGAGTAAATGAATGAACCTAGCTCCATGAATGAAGCAAACTGGGAGTCTAATGAGGGCTGGAGAGAACCCTAAGCCAGTCTGGGAGTTAAGAAAAACTTCCTGGTGGAGCCGACTTCCAGGTAGAGTGTTGAAAATGAGCCAGAGTTGCTGGGCTAGAGCGTACTGAGTTTGCATGCATGGGAGATACAGTGTCAAGAACTCCCAGTATTCAGAGTATTAAGATCTGGGCCAACAAAGTGCCCTTAGAGGTATGGGCTGTGGGAGAGGAGGCTGGAATAGGAAGGTCAACAGAGAAAGGATCTGTTTGAATAATTAGGGCTTAGAATTTGTATTGCAAACAAACAATGGTGAGCTGTTGAAGAATTTTGAGGAGGGAATGATAATCAGATTTCCATTTTTAAACTGTTGCCCTGAATGAAATAAGGGTTGGGGATGTGAGTTAGGAGAGCCATTGTTGATGAAGAAAGGTCAGTTATGAGACTGCTATTGTCATCATTAACATAAGTTAATTTTGAAGGCCTAAATTAAGGGAGAGTAGTAGAAATGGAAAAGGCAAATGGATTCCAGAAATGTTGAGATAAAATCAGCAAACCTTGATTCTGATTAGATGTAGGGAATGAGTCAAGTCTGGGTTGAAGGAAATGTCTGAAGATGAGTTTGAAGTGCCCATGGGAGACATTCTTTTGAACACATCTAGAGCAGTTGGATATTTGAATTCAAACCTCAGGAAAGATCTGGCTGGAGGCAAATTTGGAAATCAGCGGATACAGATGCTGGCTGAAGCTAAGGGCCTGGCAGAAGTGCCCATCTGAGACACACTGTGGATGGTGAAAAGGGGGCAGATACCACAATTGACAGGGATGGTGGGAGAAGAAAGCCAAGGTGGGGCCAGAGAAGGTGGTGTCATTGTCACTTAAGCCAAGAGAGGAGGCATTGGTTAGCACTGGGAATCCTTGCAGAGCTCAGGGGAGATGAGCATTGAAACAGGATAATAGTTTCAGGGGAGAGAAATGACTCCCATTTCCTCTGTAACATCAAACCTAAACTTTCACTAATTCCACTGCACCTAGCCCACTCCCTTGCTCATTACTCCCCAATAGCCCCTCTGCTCATAGACCTACCAGGAAGTCATACCATTCCTATGCTCTTATTTTGCCTCTTTGCCAGAATGCCCCAATTCTCACTTGTCTGAGCTCTATCCAGCCTTCTAGGGCTAACACAAGCCCACTTTCCCCCAAGGCTGCCCCAGCATACTCCGAGTGTGTTCTCTTCTGTAGATCTATTTGTATTTCGCTCTACTTTACACTTGATTATGTGTGTCATCTGGTGTTGGCTATTGATTCATGAAGTTTGACTCTTCCAAGCTTCTTGAGGTAAAGGGTCTTATTGTATTCTTCTTCTGCGGCCTTTGTAGCCTGGAATAGTGTTGAACAGATAATCCTTGCTCTGAAAAAGATTTCTGGTTGATCAAAATTACAAGATTTGAAATTATCCATTTCATAAAAATTCTTGAGGAAGATTTAAATTTCAGCTGTCCAGGAGTTGGAGTGAACCCTGTACAAAGGAGATTGTTCTAAGGTAGAATCTTGGTCAGCTGATAGTCACATCAGGTTAGGGAGGAGGGCGTGGGAACAGAGGTCAGAAGTGAGGGAGGGGCTCTTTACTCAGTGCAGCCACATGGAAGGCTGGGATGATTCAACATCATGATGACAGTATGTGGTTTCCTCCAAAACGGGCTCAAACTTTACAGCTGGTCCTTTGAATCATGGAAGCATTGCCCATTCCTGCTTGGTGAAAGTGAGGCCTAAGAGGGAGGGGGCCAGACCACACTTCACAGTGGCTTCTGAAGTTAATGAGGATAAAAGAATTATAACTCATGGTACCATTTTTGTAGCTGTGTTAGCTGCTCTCAAAGGGAGAATTTCATGGCAGGGGAAGAGGTGGTTGCTAAGGAAATGACAAAGAGAGGGAAAAAAGAAAAACAACCCAAACCCTCTTTCTGACCACAAGTTTAGAATTTTTCTTTCCTTTTTTTTTTTTTGAGGCCGAGTTTCGCTTTTGTTGCCCAGGCTGGCGTGCAATGGCGTGATCTTGGCTCACTGCAACCTCTACCTCCTGGGTTCAAGTGATTCTCCTGAGTAGTTGGGATTACAGGAGCCTGCCAACACACCCAGCTAATTTTTTGTATTTTTAGCAGAGACAGGGTTTCACTATATTGGCCAGGCTGGTCTCAAACTCCTGACCTCAGGTGATCCGCCCACCTCGGCCTCCCAAAATGCTGGGATTACAGGTGTGAGCCACTGTGCCCGACCTTAGAATTTTTCACGACCTTGCACTACCAAAGGGAAATTTAAGTCCTTTGTTGCTGTTCTTGTTTTTGAGACGAAGTCTCACTTTGTCACCTAGGCTGCAGTGCAGTGGCACGATCTCGGCTCACTGCAACCTCCTCCTCCTCAGTTCAAGTGATTCTCTTGCCTCAGCCTTCCTAGTAGCTGGGATTACACACACCGGCCACCATGCCCAGCTAATTTTTGTATTTTTAGTAGAGATGGTGTTTCAACATGTTCGTCAGGCTCGTCCCAAACTCCTGACCTCAAGCAGTCCACCCGCCTCAGCCTCCCAAAGGGCTGGGATTACAGGCGTGAGCCACTGCCCTTGGCTGGGAAATTTAAGTCCTTTTTACCCTCAGATGACAGATCTTTGTGACCCTCTCAATTCCTGAGAGAGGTAAGGAATCATATTCTGAGTTAGAGGCCATGGTGGTTGTATGCCTAGACTCTCAGATTCCTTTGTGGGTATTGGGTTACACACTCCAGGGGGTGGAGCTGTTAAGAAGACCCTGAGATCTCGGTGGCTGCATTTTAAATATCTCATTTGTAAGGGAAATGATGATTCTGCCAATTTATTTCCCTTTGTACACATTTTCTTTTGAAGTTAAAGTTAATATCCTTTTGGACTTGTACCTCTCTGCTTCTTAGTTCTATAAATCTCTTCCTAGTTTTATTTTCTGTAAGAGTGAAGTAGAAATAATTTCCAGAAAAGAACTTGTCAACATCAAGTCATGAGGGAGGCTGGTGATATGAGAACTAGAAGGAACTGTCAGAGCTCTGCCGTCATGGTCTTCTGCAGACCAACAATGAGGCGGTATCATGTTCTGTCCTTTCTCCCTCAGAACAGACAGATATGCCAGTTAGTTCTCAGATCTGAATTGTGCTCTCTTCCAATTACTAAACTACTAAAACCCTAAGTTTTAGTCTTTAGAAATTCAGTTGTCAGTTTATAAGAACCTGCTATGTGATGGATATGCTATTTTAAGGATATGAAAATAAGTAGGAATTGTGTGGTTATATATTATTTAACTCTGGATGCAGGAATCGTCTGATTGGTTTGGGTTCCCAAAGATGAGAGATATAGCCTTGACTTTAGACAGCATGCAGACAGGGCCACTGGGAGCATCTTTGGGGATTCCTTCTTCTACAGCTTTATAACCCCAGTGACTCACCTTGATTTCTCCCAGCCATAAAATCAGACTGGTGATTTCATCTGGTTTGCTCTGTACTTCACAAGAGGGTAGTAGAAGATTATATCTAAACAATAGAGCACTTTAATTCCCCAGAACTCCAACAAGCCCAGCACCTCCAGATTATATGTTGCTAACAGCAACAGGACAACTTGAGAAGTTATCCCACGTCCCGGGCCCATTCCTGTAGTTCATCCACCAAGGTCAGTTGGAGAAACCTCCATCCAGAACTGAACTCTCTGGCACTCGGATCCCTCTGCTGGCTGATAGCAGAAGCACTGCTTAGCTTTTTCTTTTCTTTTTGTTTTTAAATGAATTCAGGTATTCTAATTAGCATTTTCTTTCTCTCTCCCACACTCCCTCTTTCTGTGTTTCTCTTTCTGGCCGACTCTGTAATCCTTAATACATTTCTCTTGGTGTCTTTAATTCCTACACTGAGCATGAGTTCATAGCCCATTCCTGGTAGAAGACCACTGTCTGATGGGTGCTGGCTAAATGAATGCCTCAATACAGGGTTATAGGGGCTACCATAGAAATAGGTTCAAGGTATGGAGGGGACATTAGGCCCTGACCTCATGAATGATTCCTGCATCTCATATCAGTGATGGTCATAATAATGGCAAGTACTTATGCAGACTTGGAACCAAGCACTTTGTTAAACACTTTACAAGCATTATGTCATATAGTTCTTTTTCAGCCCTGTAAGGTAGCTTCTCTGTTGTTTACTCCACAGATAACAAAGCTCAGGCTGGATTCATGCAGCTTGTTGATGGTGGGGCTCAGGATGTGCGCTCAGGTCTCTCTGGCACCAATGTCATAACTGCAAACTACAGTGACCTCAGATGCTCCAGGCTTTCCAAGCCCGTATCTTGGCAGAAGTTCTTTGACCTTGCTCTCTGCCTACAAGTCTCTTCCGCCTTTATCTTTTCTCAGGAATTCTGATTTTTCTTCAAGATTCAGTTCAGGGTCACTTCGAGAGGGTTATACCCCCATCCTTTCCCTGTTTTGGTTGTTTGCTGAGACCCCTGTGAACCAGTACTTGTCTCTAATGGAGCACTTATTGCACATTTTTGTGTTGATTCCCCTACATGTCTGTTTCCCCAGTAAACTTTGATCTCTTTGAAGGCAGGAAGTGTATCTTACCAGTCTTTGTATCCCTAGTACCTAGTACAGAGCCTAGCTCATAGCAATAAAAATGACAGCAATGCTTCACATTTACTACGTACTTATCTTGGGCTGGGCAGAGTGCTAAGCACTTCATTTTTTAGACCCTCTCATCTAACTATCATACAACCCATATAATACATAGAATTATGAAGAAACTGAGGCTGACAGAATTCTATAACTTGCCCAAGGTCACCCCAGTAAGTGGCAAAACTGGAGCTTGACTCCAGGTCTCCCTGAACTTCTTTACATTTTATTAATTTTCATGCCCTACACTTTTTTACCTGATTAGGTATTTTTTCTTTTTCAATATTGATTGAGATGTATGGTAGGAATTACATTTTCTTTGCTAAAATTAGTAAGCACCTTGAACAGTACTTGCTGTATGTGCTCCAGTTGAGGGTCTCTGAAAGAAGGGATGCATTTAGATAAATCAGATATTGAATTTTTCTGAAGAAAAAAGCTTGGGAAACATAATTACATAAGGTAACTAGAAATGCTTAAAATCTATTTCTTTACCTAGCAACTTCACATGAAATTTTGCAACAGTTTTATGAAATATTTTATGAAATAATTGCTGTATTCGTCTGTCACCGAGAAATACAAGTGTAAGTTAAGCATTTCTGAAGCCTGAAATCACCAAGTACAGTTTTAATTACCCAAGAGAGGCAAATCTAAAACTACTTGCTTTTCAGAGCATAATTTTAAAAAATGAACAACAGTCTTTGCAATTAAATTTTATGTTAAATTTAGGTCACATGTTAATTTTAACTGTTAGGATATCCTAGAATGTGCATTGTTCTTTACCAACCTAACTGATAAGTCAATTTGCCTGTCTTCAATATGAGGCTTAGTCAGTTGCTCACCTCATATTTTCAAAGTACCAGTGAAATTAGCGGATAGTTTAAGATTAGGTAGGTGCTAAAGAAATACAGTCTATCATTAGCGATATCAAGATTTGTAATTCTTACATTTCAATACGATATTTCATGCTATTAAAGCCTATTACATTTTAATATTGAGAAAATCCCATCCTTTAAAGGCTACCTTACTTATAGCTATAATTAAATCTTGATAATCATTAAGTCATTGATATCACTAAATTATGTTAGGGTAGCTAACATTTCCATTTTACAAGATGTAACTTTGCCTCACACTAAGTGTAGTAAACATAGAATATTGGGACAGGCCAGGCATGGTGGCTTACATCTGTAATTCCAGCACTTTTAGAGGCTGAGGCGGGCAGATAATTTGAGGCGAGAAGTTCGAGACCAGCCTGGCCAACATGGTGAAACCCCATCTCTACTAAAAATACAAAAATTAGCTGGGCATGGTGGTGCACGCCTGTAATACCAGCTACTTGGGAGGCTGAGGCAGGAGAATTGCTTGAACCCGGGAGACGGAAGTTGCAGTGAACCAAGATTGCGCCATTGCATTCCAGCTGGGCGACAGAGCGAGATTCTGTTTCAAAAAAAAAAAAAGCAGCTTTGGGAGGCCGAGGTGGGCAGATCACCTGAGGTCGGGAGTTTGAGACCAGCCTGACCAACATAGAGAAACCCCATCTCTACTAAAAATACAAAATTAGCAAGCGTGGTGGCACATGCCTGTAATCCCAGCTACTTGGGAGGCTGAGGCAGGAGAATCGCTTGAACTCGGAAGGCGGAGGTTGTGGTGAGCCGAGATGGCGCCATTGCATTCCAGCCTGGGCAACAAGAGTGAAACTCCGTCTCAAAAAAAAATATATATATATATATACATATATATATATAGGGACAGTAAGAGATCTTGGTCCAACTTCATTACTCTACAGATGAAGAAAAGGAGGCTCAAAGAAACTGTCTGCAGCTCCTTGCTTCCTCGACTGTACCAGAAAGCCACGTTCCATTAAAATAACCACAGATCCTAGCCGGCCTGGTGGCTCACGCCTGTACTAACACTTGGGGAGGCTGAGGAGGGAGGGCTGCTTGAGCCCAGGAGTTTGGACCCAGTCCAAACGCTGTACATAGCGACACCCCCGTCTCTACAACAACAGCAGCAACAAAAAATTATCCGGGCGTGTTGGCGAGCATCTGTGGTCCTAGCTACTCTGGAGGATTACTTGAGCCCAGGAATTAGAGGTTGCAGTGAGCTGTGATCGTGTCACTGCACTCTAGCCTGGGCGACAGAATGAGATCCCGTCTCAAAAGAAAAGAAAATAGCCATAGTACCTTGTCTATCTTAGCTGCATTCGTGTCTCACTGCCGCTTTGCCAATTTTCCTTTCTTTTCTGCAGGTTGCATCCCCTGTCCTGAGTGCGTGGCACGGAGCGCAAGCGGGCCGCGGCCATGACGACCGCCATCTTGGAGCGCCTGAGCACCCTGTCGGTCAGCGGGCAACAGCTGCGCCGCCTGCCCAAGATCCTGGAGGATGGGCTTCCCAAGATGCCTTGCACTGTCCCGGAAACAGATGTGCCCCAGCTCTTCCGGGAGCCTTACATCCGCACCGGCTACCGCCCCACGGGTCACGAGTGGCGCTACTACTTCTTCAGCCTCTTTCAGAAACACAATGAGGTGGTCAACGTCTGGACCCATTTACTGGCAGCCCTGGCGGTCCTCTTGCGATTCTGGGCCTTTGCCGAGGCTGAGGCCTTGCCATGGGCGTCTACTCACTCCCTGCCCCTGCTCCTTTTCATCCTGTCGTCAATCACTTACCTCACCTGCAGCCTTCTGGCCCACCTACTGCAGTCCAAGTCAGAGCTCTCCCACTACACCTTCTACTTTGTGGACTATGTTGGCGTGAGCGTTTACCAATATGGCAGCGCTTTGGCTCATTTCTTCTACAGCTCTGACCAGGCCTGGTATGAGCGGTTCTGGCTTTTCTTCTTGCCAGCAGCTGCCTTCTGTGGCTGGTTATCTTGTGCTGGCTGTTGCTATGCCAAATATCGTTACCGGAGGCCTTACCCAGTCATGAGGAAGATCTGTCAAGTGGTGCCAGCAGGGCTGGCCTTCATCCTAGACATCAGCCCTGTGGCACACCGTGTGGCGCTCTGCCACCTGGCTGGCTGCCAGGAGCAAGCAGCCTGGTACCACACCCTCCAGATCCTCTTCTTCCTGGTTAGCGCTTATTTCTTCTCCTGCCCGGTGCCTGAGAAGTACTTCCCGGGTTCCTGTGACATCGTAGGCCATGGGCATCAGATCTTCCATGCCTTTCTGTCCATCTGCACGCTCTCTCAGCTGGAGGCCATCCTCCTGGACTACCAGGGGCGGCAGGAGATCTTCCTGCAGCGCCATGGACCCCTGTCTGTCCACATGGCCTGCCTCTCCTTCTTCTTTCTGGCTGCCTGCAGTGCTGCCACCGCAGCCCTTCTGAGGCACAAAGTCAAGGCCAGACTGACCAAGAAAGATTCCTGAGGCTGGCAAGTGGGGCAGCGTGTGGAGGAAGCCCCTCATAATTTGGAGAAAACTTGATACAATAGAAATTGACTTTGAAAGGATTGGCTTTTAAATTAATACATATATCCAAGGATGTGTTATAGCTGCAGTGTTTGAAAGCCAAAGGTTTTAAGAGTTTTGTTGTTGTTAATGAAAGGAATACTCCTTTTCCTTTTGGATCATAGCTTAACAAGGCACAGGAAGGGAAGGGATCTCTCATAAGATTCATGAGACATTGAAATAAGGAGAATTGTCTTCATGCCTGAAAATTTAGCAAAATTCTGACTGTGGCCTCCAGGGGCAATTCCTAAAAGCTGAATGGATAATAAAATCGGACTGGAAAGTAAGTAGGTGGCTGGTCCTCACCCTGTTGGAATGGCTATCCTACTATGCTGTTCTTTGGTAATGGAATAAATTGACCCAAGGACCCAATTTCATTTGGATTTCAAATTGTCCAGAGTGGAAAAGCCTTCAAGATGACATAATGAATTACTCAGTTCATCTGATTTCTGGTCTCTCCTTTCTCGACAACTATAATACTAACCCTTTTCTCAGGATAACTGTCTAACTGGCAGTTTTCTCTGAAGTGCTGTTCACTCCCATCCCTACCTTGCATGGTGATATAAAGGACTAGGAAGCAGTCATACTTCCAGGAAATGCTTGGATTCGTGTGGACATTCAGAAAGCTTATTCTCATATAGTTCTAATGTAAACAGTACTAGAAATTACAGTGCCAAGAGCCACCAGGAGGCCCAGCCAATAAGCGTAGATACTACATGGTGTCATGGGACCCGTTCTATTTTACACCGGTGGACAACAGGATTACTTGAGAGTTATCAGGGCTGCCTAACAGACCAGGAGATCTGGGAGTTGCACCAGGGAATCTCCATATTTGACCAGCATGTTTTAAAAGCTCTTGGTAGGATTAGTTGGTTCTAAGGATCCCTCTAGGGACCTCATTATTTCAAGAGGAACCCAAGGTCCAGTCTCCTACATAGATGCTGTCCCACAAAGGACCCACATAACTAACCCAGTTCAGGGTTCTCAGGCAGGCAGTTCTGCGTCAGCTTAGAGCAGAGCCCTTAAAATACTTAAGTACTGGGATAGGCAAGCATGTGTGTTTACTGTGGGTTTGTCTTTGGGTGAGAACATGTGAACCAGGCACCCTGGTTTGTTTGGAGCATTGCTGCCCAGAAGCTTCTATGGGATAGGTGGTGCTTGGGATTGATGTGTTCTGGCCCTGCAGCCCTCCCTGAGGATTGACTTCTGCTCTAATCCAGTGAAGGAGGCTGTGTCAAAAGAAGGGCTCAGAAGCCCTCTTTTCAGAGGCAATGATTTCTGTCAGTATGAGGTCCCTTATTTACTAAAAAGGGACATGATAACTCCAGTTTGATGAACCTCCTCTGAGTTTACTTTGTTGTCTTCAAATCTTTTGTTTTCTTCCTTTCTCTGAGATTTGTGGGTTTTGTGCCTTATAAATGGAAATGTATGAACACTTAATATATGCCCATGTAGAATTTTCTGTTTTGGGTTATTGGGATAAGAAAAAATATATATTGCTCTTCAACTAGTGAATGAAAGAAACTTCAGAAAGCTAGAATTGCTTATCAATCAAAAGACTTTCTCAACCTGTATTTTGGCCACAAACAAAAAAAGATATTCAACTGAAGCTTTCCAATAATCTTTATATCAAGAAAGCATGCTTGTCAGCTACGTTGTTTTCTTAGATGGATTTCTCCTGTTAATCCTCAAATATCTGAACTTCTGTGTTACCCAAGTGTCTTATACAAGCTTCTGGTGTCTAGGACAAATTTATGGCAAATAAAATTAGCAAAACTGAACTGGGTTGAACTGAACAAGAGGATGGGGGAATTGTGCAAATACGTTGTTAGTAGAGGGTCAATTTAAAATAGGGACTAGAAATTGTTTGAAGTTTTCTTTATTATAGATTCAAAGACTGTATTATTTTGAAAGTTGGGAGGAGAAGGGAGGGAAGAGAGCAGAAGGGAAGAGGGTGTAAGTCAAACTCTTTAATATAACTGGTGGTATTGTGGGCAGAGATCTTTAGTTCAAATCCACATATTTTTAAAAAGAGAGAACTGGAGGTAGAGCAGTGATCAGATGGGTGCACAGACCAGTGCCAATCTGAACATTGTTAATGGCCTGTGACATGAAGAGCACAGGAAGAGGCATTAAGATATTGCCATACAGTTTTAATTTATACAAGTATTGGCCCCTCAACTGGTTGGAAATTTTTTTTTTAAATCTCTTTTTCTGAGACAGGGTCTTACTCTGTCGCCCAGGCTAGAGTGCAGTGGTGCAATCACGGCTCACTGCAGTCTCGACCTCCCCAGCTCAAGCAATCCTCCCACCTCAGCCTCCTAAGTACCTGGTACTACAGGTGCATGCCACCACACCTGGCTAATTTTTGCATTTTTTATAGAGACAGGGTTTTGCCATGTTGCTTAGGCTGGTCTTGAACTCCTGAATTCAAGTGATCTGCCCACCTCAGCCTCCCAAAGTGTTGGGATTACAGACATTAGCCATCACACCCGCCCTAGAAACAGTTTTTTAATAGGAGATATTTGAGAGGCATTGAGGTAGGAGACTCTATGACATGCCCTCAGAATATCAGAATCTTCTAAGAAATAAACTAGGAAATGCAGATGTTTCTAACTACTCAGACTTTTGAGGAATTACTCCTTTTAAAACATTTTTGTTAAAGTTTAGTGTATCAGTAAGAAAACAGACCTAGTTTAAAAGGAATAATTAACAATTTTATAAAGGAGATGGCTATCTTATTCCATCATAGCCCCTCCAACATATCTACTGGAAATTCTGCTAGTTAACTTTCTCTCTCTCTGTTAATTTAGACTTTCAACCTATGAAAATGTAAATACCTTTGAAAAAACTAAACTATCAGTCGTATACATCTTCTCATGAATGAAATGCAGTATAGGGAGAGGAGATGGCAGGACACACTAAACTGGGGACACATTTGTCTGCTTCTCTTTTGCCTAATTCTTCCTGACCTGTATTTACTGATGAGCTAATAATATTTGTAAGACTCTAGGGGTTCATTTCCATTTCAGCGGAAAGTACTTCACTCAATAACAATATTCTCAAGAGTCTTCTACTGGAAGCTAGAAAGAAATAGGAGTTTAAGTCCATAGAATGAAGGTAGTTATTCCTGCCTCTGTTGCCCACCTGTTCACAAAAAGTACCTTTATGCTTGAAAACATTAGGTTCTTTGGTTACTGCACTGTAGTTTCAAATGGATCCTCCAGATGGCATTCATGTCTTAGAAAGGGCACAGCCATTGTCCACAAGGCTTCTGCCTACTAATTCTAGTGGTCTTGTGTTTTTCTTCATTGCTTGGCAAAGTAAAAATGGAGCTATTTTCTGTCTATATAAATCTTCTTTTATGAATAACCATTAAAGTGATTTTGTATATGCATTGTTGTAGTGTCAGCAGTTTAAAGCAACAGCCACCTTGTTTCTTTGACAAGGTCTTAACAAGGACTACCTTGAAGAGGCCCCCTCAAAAAGGTTCTGTTTATACAAACATTGCCAGGAAAAGGAGGTCAGGACACTTTACCTCCACCAAGAAGCAGGAAAGTATAAAAACTTAAAAAAACACTCTATATCCCATCCCCCATACACATATACACACACACCCTAATACCTATTCGTGAGTAGAACAAATTGCTTCCCCACAAAATGCTATGAAGTTGATTTCTCTGAAGATTTCAGTGTAATTAAATAAATCCTCCTAGTTTCATAGATAATAGTGTAAAAGATTTCAAAATTTTTAAGTCATTGGCTACAATTTTATAAATGTAAAAATGATGAATTATACTATGATTCAACTATAGCAGGTACTAAAATGTATGAGTTGTGAAATGTGGCATTAACTAATTTTGTAGCCTTCACAGATTGAAAGAGCTGTGTAAAAGGTGATTCTCTAAGCAACTGCAGCTTCAGGCTATAGTACCATCACAATCACAAAGAAAACAGCATTTCTATGGCTGGAGGCTCCACTGGTTGAATTATGGTTGTCATTCTTGCCCAAACCCTTTTTTGTCACCAGCAGGGGCCCTAGGCAGTTTGAAAATGCTTCTGTTGTTACTGTTACTAGTTTAACCACTCTTCAGTTATTAATTTAGCAAGAATTTATTGAGCACCTATTGGTGAAAGGTACCACATTGGCTCTGGAGACACCACAGTGTGGAAAAGACACCCTGTGGGCAGAGAGTCTGCCATCTGCTAAATGAGTGCTGGCATCTTTTCCTTGGGCCATGAGGGTCCCTCTCTCCAGATCATGGTTCCAATCACAGCCTGAGGGCCAAGAAGCTGGGACCTGGTTTGGGCCAGAACCTCATCATAAGGATTAAGCTCTCTCTCCCCTTTACCTCCAGAGGTTGGAAACCTCTTCCCCTGTAGCAAGACAGTCACCTTATAGCTGCCTCTACTTCCCGTTACTCCTGCTACTTCTCCAACCCTTCTCACTGCCCTCTACTTGTTTTAACTCAGTCCTGGGGATCCTTGACACATCCAGACAGAGAGAGGAGCCCTAAATTTCCACAAGCAGTAGAGACTTCCCAGGTACATAGTCCCATCCTTCAAGGAAGGGGATGTGTGGTTCCAACCTGAGTACAGGTTCCTGACTTGGTAAGTTGAAAGCAGCATGCTGCACTCTGGCTACCTCCTTTAAAAAGTAACAACCATATCCTTTGTGGAATTATTATAGAAGTAATTTAATATGGAAGGAAAATCATTGCATTAAAAAGATAATTCATTTAAATATTAACTTTGGGAGCATATCTATCTATGGTAAGGGCTTTTGTTACATAACAGGATTCTCACTGGAAAAGGTATTCACTATATTTTAAGATTGCAGGAGGTCCAGACCATATGGAAGGCTACAGAATAACAGCTCAAATTTTATTATGATTTCTAAAATATTTCCACATCTATATGAGCTTCTAAACTACGAGGTAAGTAAGGCCAAACAGGTCTCCATTGAACTAGGAAACACTAGAAAGGTAGAGTGACTGGTTTGAAGCCACACAACTAGTTATAACGTTTAAACTCATTTTTCCTTCAGATAAATTCACGGTCCAGCCAATCAGAAACATCAGCACCAAATACTTGCAGAGCTTTTTACAGCAAATGAAGCACTTTTATGCATTATGTACACTTTGACATAATCTTTTAACTTTTGATCCTAATATCTCATGCATAGCCAGGGTTGCATCATTTCTTTTTGAGTTAAAGCGATTTCACTCCACTCACATCCTTGGATGCAAAATAAAGCATTCATTGCATCACAGAGGCCTCTCAGAACCCCAAAGTTCATTGTCCATGGACCCTTGGTGGCTGGATTATAAAGTCAAGTCCTACTCTCCAGTCAGTTTCCTGAAAATATGTTTGGATCCTTGGATGAGAAAGTCCTGCCAAATCTCAAATCCTCCCTTTTATCTTTTGATGGGATTGTCAGTTCTTTAAACAGTCAGCTTTCCCAGGGATTTTGACAAGAGATATGAACTTGAACATGGGATTTTAAAAATGTTTCTCTGCCATATGAAAGAGTTTTGCAGACTTAATAGAAAGCACAAAAAAATCGTTAATTATTTCTTAAAGCAATATATGCTTGCTTATTAAAGAAACTAGAAAAGTAGGAAGAAAAGATAATCCTCGGACCCATCAGTAAACTAAAATCCCTGTTAGGGAAAAATAAGACTTATGTCAAAATATTGTCAATGGTAAAAGGTATAGCAGTGTCATGCAAAGATTCCTGAAAAAAACAGTTACTGTAAACTAGAATTTTTTTTTTTTTTTTTTGAGAGGGTATCTTGCTCTGTAGCCCAGGCTGGAGTGCAGTGGCGCAATCTTGGCTCACTGCAAGCTCCGTCTCCCAGGTTCACACCATTCTCCTGCCTCTGCCTCCCGAGTAGCTGGGACTACAGGTGCCCGCCACCACGCCCGGCTGATTTTTTGTATTTTTAGTAGAGACGGGGTTTCACCATGTTAGCTAGGATGGTCTCGATATCCTGACCTCGTGATTCGCCCGCCGCAGCCTCCCAAAGTGCTGGGAATACAGGCGTGAGCCACCGCGCCCGGCCGTAAACTAGAAATTTTAAGCAGCCTAGTTAGTACTTTATTCTCTAAGTTACAAAATCAACCGTCTGGCTCAGTTTACAGGAGTACCGAGACAGTGACATTACACTCCCTTCTGACATTACATTATATAGGTAATTTGATGTTGTTGTGGCTGATACTGTCTCATTAATCCAAGCCAATGATACATTATCTCTCATGTTGAAAGAATTGTGTGAAATGTTTCTCCTGAATCAAGCTCTCAGAGAGGACTGTGCTAGAAATACCTTCACTGGAGGTAAGGACTGGCCTGTTGAACCAGTGAGTATTCATTGACAGCCCTTCCACAGTGAGCACTACTAGGTATCAGCCTCTGTTCTAGGCACCCGGGATACAGGAATGAACAAAACACTAATTCCTGCCCTTATGGAGAAACAGTGAACCAAATCAATAAATTATATATTAGAAGGTGATGGTGCCAAGGAGAAACAGAGAGCAAGGAAGAGAGATAGACTGGAGGAGTGGGTAAGTGCGCCATTTTAAACAGGATCGGGGAAGAATACCAAGAAAGGTGATGGAGCCAGCTCTGTTTCTCACCCAGGCAAAGGGAAGAAGTACAAGGGCTCTGAGCCCAGGGCATGCCAGGAATGACCAGGAGGCCATTGTGAACAGAGAGGGAGAGTACAGCAGAAGAAGAGAACAGGTTGTAGAGGTCTTGTGAAGACTTTTGCTTTTACTGTGACTTTGGGAATGGGGTATGTGGGGAAGAATTCTGTCCAAGGAAATTCAGGGTAGCTATCTATCTATATGGATTAGTTACTAATTGCACATTACTTTAGAAAACAGAGTAAATTCTATTTCCTGCAATATGCACAAAACCAGATTGGCATCAAGTTATTCCATGTGTAGGCCTGCCCCAGCAAACTGTTCCTGTGGCCACACTCTCATGCTTGCAGAATTCTTCCCAGATTCCTCCCAGAGCCTTTTTAAAGCGCCCAGAATGTTGACCTCTGCTTCCGACATAGTCTTTGAATGTTTTCTCATTCTTTGGACACTAGTTTGTACTCTGGATAATCCTCTGGGCAGAAATGGAATGACATGTCTAAGGCAGAGCCTGTAAATTGGGGATAATAACAGTTTACATTATCTAGTACTCACCACTTGCCAAGAACTGAGCGGAGCTGTTTTCCTAGATTCTTTCATTTAACCCTCATAGTAGCCCTGTGAGGTAGGCACTAATATTGCCTCCATTTTGTAAATGAGGAAACTGAGGCATAAAGTAAATTTGCCCACAACTACTTGGCTCTTAAGTAATGGAATCATCTCACAGACACTCAGGCCTTTGAATCCAGGGTCTATATTCTTAGCCACTAAAATTAAGTGAGTGTAGAAGATTCTTTTGTCTAACTTCTCATATTGTCACTTGTGCGAACCAGACAAAGTTTAAGAGGGAAGTGTAACGTAGATTTCCATCTCCCCACCCCTGATAAATGAAGTAAACCTAAGGATGCAGTTCTCATTTTATTTCTAGACACTTTAGCCAAGCAAAAGTCCTTATACTGTTATTGTTGAATGGTACCAAGGCTGAGATTCCTAAGTGTATTTTGTGCTAGAATACAACATGGAGCTACTCACATTACGAACAGTCTCAGAAGCCCTCTGTAATGACCTGAAGGATCTGAAGGACAGAAACTCACTTTGAGAACCACTGACTTCAAATTATTTTCGCATGCTTCTCTAATGTTTATAAAATGACTCTAGTGAATACTTTCTCATCTTTAGGACCTTTTAATGTATCTTATTCCTCATTAAAATAAATTTGAGCATGATTCCAGGCTAAACCAATTTCTTAAAGACAACAATGGCAACATGCAAAATATCTCCATCTAGTGTTTTTTCTTTTCTAAACAAGGACAAATTATCTTAGAATCTGACTGATTTTACTCCAGGAAAAATACCTTTGCACACAGGACCCGGCACAAAATTTGTATTCAGAAAGTGCTAGTGGTAATCACACAGTCATTATTTCTTTTTCTTTTCTTTTCTTTTCTTTTTTTTTGAGACGGAGTTTTGCTCTTGTTGCCCAGGGTAGAGTCCAACGGCGCAACCTCAGCTCGCCACAACCTCCACCTGCCAGGTTCAGGCAATTCTCCTGCCTCAGCCTCCCGAGTAGCTGGGATTACAGGCATGTGCCACCATGCCCGGCTAATTTTGTATTTTTAGTAGAGACCAGGTTTCTCCATGTTGGTCAGGCTGGTCTTGAACTCCTGACCTCAGGTGATCCACCCACCTCAGCCTCCCAAAGTGGTGGGATTACAGGCATGAGCCACTGCACCCAGCCCACAGTCATTATTTCTA